GCTGGCAGGGGGATTACAAAGCTATGAATTGCCTTTCTCTTAGTGCAGAGTGTAGGCATTGAGAACGTGGTCTTTAGAGAGCTGTGGACTTGGATGTTGAGTACTTGCTTTTCTCCTTAAAAGCTGTGTGACATTGGCTAATCTGCTAAACTTCTCCAGGCCTTAGTTCTTCCTCTGTGAGGCAGTGGTCACAGCGGTTGTTCCTTCACGGGGGCTGTTGTGAGGTTTTTACCCCAGAGGAAGCATGAGAGGTGCCTGGCACATGGTCCCTCACTCCGCCGATGCTGACAACCAGTGTCGTGGTTCAGGACCATCCAGGCGAGTCCACTGGGGAGGAAGGGGGCCATCTGTCTTCTTGCCAGCCTCCTCGTTCCTCTTGGGGGTACAGAGGAAAGGTAAAAGTCTAGGGAAGGGGCAGTATCTCCTCTAGCTGGGGTACCTTTGCTCTTGATACTGGTCACAGAGATGGCTGCCTTGGTAATTGTTTGTGTGTTTTTAAAGATTTAAATTATTTGTTTATTGGGGGGGGCGGCAGAGAGCACAGTAGAGGGAGTGGCAGGCAGAATGGGCAGAGGGAGAAGCAGGCTCTCAGCCGAGCAAGGAGCCCAATGTGGGATTTGATCCCAGGACCCTGGGATCATGACCTGAACCGAAGGCAGATGCTTAACTGACTGAGCCACCCAGGCGCCCCTGCCTTGGTAATTATTTGAAACAGCTGGGCCCTTCCTGCCTCTGTGGGCACTTGTTCTGTTCTCATCAGTAAAAAATAGTTGCCAAAATCCGGAGTCCTGGCCATTTCCTGGGGGGAGAGTGGGGGAGCCCATAGCAGGAGGTGGGCCTCACAGGAGCTCCTAGAGCAGGTGCACAACCTCCCTGCCCCCCGCCCCCTCCTTCCCCGTTCCCTGGGAGCTTCTTCAAAGTCCTTCTGGCTAAGTCCAATTCTGTAACAATGGCAGCCGGGCATCTGTTCTAGGAGAAGCTCTCAGGGTGATGCTGGTGCTCACCCCGGAAAAACCATTGCCATAAAAACATCCTGACCACAAGCAGACCCATGCCTGAGAAGGGAGGGATGGGCCAGGCCCAGGCACACGGAGCCATGACAGTGCAGTGACTAGACTGTGGGGCTTTGGGCTCTCGTTCGAGGCATTTTCCTCCCACCAGACTCACTCTTTGACCATATTTGCTGTTTGTGGTGATGGGGTCAGAAATAGCCAGCCCAGACTCAAGGGGCCTCTATTCCCGTGGGAGGCTGGCCTGCCTCGAGCCAGTGAGTAGCGAGCTGGCAGCGTCCGCCGCTCCAGGGACAGCTCTTTTGGAAAAAAGCAGGAGGCGGCCTGGGATCCCGGGCTGCGACGTGCTGCCTTGCTGGCTGCTCTTTGCGTAGTGCTGGTGAGGCTTCCCCTCCGGGGCTGGATCCTCGCTGCTCGGCAGGCTGACCGCGTCGTGTGCAGATGGCAGCCCCCGCGTCCCCGCTCGGTCCAGTCGCGCTCACTGGAGCCTGGGTTCCTGCCAGATGCGGCAGCCGCTGTACCAGTCTGCGGCCCAGTGGTGTTGGGTCGATGCTATATAACCCTCGTGCGGAAGCAGTAGACATGGGCTGCGTGCTTACTGGATGCCGTTTGCTTTCCACGCACTGACTCCTCACCTCTGCCAACAACCCTCATGGTAGGCGTTGTTATCCTTGTTGGACAGATGAAGAAACTGAGGCTCAGAGAGGTTAAGTGGCTTTTCTGAGGTCACACAGCCAGCAAGCAGCAGAGTTGGAACTTGAACCCAAGTTGTTCAAATGTGCAGGGCCTGCGCTGCTACCTGCTTCTGTTTCCAAGCTCAGTACGTGGGCTCCCTCCCTGACTCTGCGGCCCCCGCTGTGACTGGATCACCCTGTGGGGGCCTGGCCCCCGGAGCAGGGCCAGCGGTATGTCTCGTGTGTGACTGGAAGTGACCTCTGTCGTGACTGCTGGGTTTTGCAGATGACACAGAGCTTCCCTTACTGGGGCTGCCTTTCCTAGAGGCCGCACCACTTGTCCCCAGGTCTGTTTGTCTGTCCTCGCCCGCGTCCTGCAGTGGCACGGCATCGGTGCCGGGGCGTGGGCGCACAGGCTCATCTTTGAGGCACTTCGTGGCCTGCCTCAGCTCAGGATGTCTTACAGCAGCCTGGAGGGTGCGACATGGTGGCCCCTGGCTCCAGGGAGACATGAGATGTGGCGCCTTCCACACCCTTCCCCTCACAGTGGTCTTGGCCCTGCAGCACCCTCACCCCGTGCCTCCCTCCCTCGTCAGCCCCGAATTCTTCGCCCTGGCAGGGAGGGAGGGGACCACCAGACTTACCTAGTCTGTCCATTTCCCCCGCCAGCCTCCGAGGCGGGGTCTTCACTGATTGAGAAGGGCCTCACCACAGTTCAGACGGACCTCTGCGAGTTCCAGGCTTTGGACTGCAGTTGGGCTCTCGTTCTCGGTTCTTTCCATCCTTTCTGTGGAGAAATTGTTTTTTTTTTTTTTTTTTTTTTTTTTAAGATTTTATTTATTTATTTGTCAGAGAGAGAGAGGGAGAGAGAGCAAGCACAGGCAGACAGAATGGCAGGCAGAGGCAGAGGGAGAAGTAGGCTCCCTGATGAGCAAGGAGCCCGATGTGGGACTCGATCCCAGGATACTGGGATCATGACCTGAGCCGAAGGCAGCTGCTTAACCAACTGAGCCACCCAGGCGTCCCGAGAAATTGTTCTTGAATGTCGATGTGATCAAGGCACCCCGGCTTCGGACCCTTCAGAGGCTCCCTGGTGCCCTCGGCTCCGCCAAGGAGGATGGTCGGTGGTCTTCTGCATCGGCTCTATTTTCGGCTCTCCCTGCGGTCCAGCCCGTGCCCTGGTCCCTCCACCGTCCGGCTGCCAGCTTCCTCTTCCCCACACGCAGGGGCCTCTCAGCCCTGAGCCCTTGTATCTGCTCTTCCCGAGCGCCGTCCACTGGCCTCTCTGCTCTTTCTCCCTCCCGAGCCCCGGTCAGGCCTCTCTGAGGCACCAGCTCCTCTGGGAATCCGCTCTCTCACCCCTGGGCCCCTGGTCTAGGTCGGGAGCCCCTTTCTGGGAGCAGCCCAGCCTGCCTGGGACCTTAACATCCAGCACTAAACCGCTCACACTTCTCTCCGGCCGGCTAAGGGTGCTCGGTGTAGCCAGGGCAGGGTGTGGCAAGGATTTCAGCAAACGAAATTCAGAAGACACTTTTCAGGCATTTTTTATTACCTAACGGTGTAAGTGTTAATGTTCTTCCTTGGCGGTTCACAAAGAAGAGAACTGAGTGTTCGTGTTCAAGAACTATTTCGCTTCGGGGCGGGGGGGTGCATTTCCTTGACCACAGGAGCAGCAAATGCCCACGCGGAAAGACACACGAAAGGATACTGGTTCGTGCAGATGTGTGAAGCATTTAATCCGTGGTGGCTTAGCTTGACACAGAATTCTCAGGTTTAACCCTTGGTCCTCAGTGGAACGTCTCCTACCCCCGCCCTCAACCCCGGACCGGCAGGAGCACCTACTTGCGTTGCGCGCTCCCGTCACCCACTGGGTACCCTGTGTCCCTTGCACTGGGCGTGTAGCATCTCCCTTTCCCTGAGGGACGGCAGCCGCTGGGGGCAAAGGCCACAGCTGTCCCATCTTGGGTCGGCTGCATCCCAGAGCCTGGCCGGGGGCAGAGTGAATGGCAAGCTGGCTGTGAACCAGAGAGATCTAATTTTATTTAAAAATAACAAGACTTGGGACGCCTGGGTGGCTCAGTGGGTTAAGCGGCTGCCTTCGGCTCAGGTCATGATCCCAGCGTCCTGGGATCGAGTCCCACATCGGGCTCCTTGCTCATCAGGGAGCCTGCTTCTCCCTCTGCCTCTGCCTGCCATTCTGTCTGCCTGTGCTCGCTCTCTCTCCCTCTCTCTCTCTGACAAATAAATAAATAAAATCTTTAAAAAAAAAAAATAACAAGACTACCGGTGAAGAAAACTTTGCTGATCTGCCTGCTTTCATTTACCCTCCTCGAACGTGGCGTGCGTGAGTCGATCCCAGCTCCACACCTGGGTATCACAGCCTCTCAGCTTGGAGGGTTAGATTTGCTCTGAAAATTTTCTGATCCTCTCCTCATGGAGGCGTTCAGTTTCTCCCAGAAGGTTCTTGCACGTACTATTAGCCAATCATCACATTGAAGATTAATTTAGGATTCCAGGAATTTCTTTTGGAACCCTAAGCTTGACTGCCCCCCCACTAATCATGAGCCAGAAGAGGGGGGGAAAGGAAGAGGAACCTTCTCCACCCACGGCGCCATTCTTAAACGGAACCAGTAATTGAATGCTATTAAGCCAAATTAATTTGCCTCCTGCAGGAAGGTTTATGACTGTGAAAAGCTAGCTAATCGGGGAGGGAGCCAGGCTACCCTCTGTGGTCATCAATATTTCATGGCCATAGGCGGTGGCAGGAAGTTAGCTGTCCTGGCTCCCTGACCTTGAGCGATCCAAAGGTAGGACACAGCCAGCAGGGTTGTATTTAAAGGGCTTGTTACAAGCGCAATTTGCAAGATGCACTTGTGGGTTAATTGAATTTAGACCCTCAGCTAGTGGGATGCTCAGGGCCCCACCCCAGATTGGTCCTAGTGGGGAGCGCAGCTCTGTCAGCCACAGGGACAGAGCTGAAATGTTTACCATTGGCTTTTGGAGGCAGGGGTGGCTTGATTTTTAGTGTCTGCCCTTTTCTGTGGTGTCAGTATACCCCCCCAGCATGGCAAGTTGAAAGCTCTTGAGCCCAGAATGGGGAGATGCACTGGCTCCCATAACTCCCGGATTCTTCCTGGGTGGTGGTGGGGGGGTGATCCTTCCAAGCTGATGCTTTTCCAGAAATAGAGATGTGCCCCTGGGCAGTACTCATCTGCGTTAGACTTGGCCTCTTAACAGAGGGCACTTGAATGTCACTTGTTTTTTAAAAATGAGAAAAGAAGTTAATGTGCCTGTCATTCTGTTCTTTCTTTTCCCTAGCTGCTATTAACTTAGCAAAACTGAAACTTTTCAGACACTATTACGTCTTGGTGAGTAAAAAAAAAAAAATCTTGAATCTGTAAATAAGATCAGTTCAAGGAGTAGAACAAATGAACTTCCAAAGAACTGGCGGAAGCACGAGATGTGCTACCTTGGCCGTGCAGATTTCATTTTATCAAACCAAATTGTGTCTTTTGATCGGAGAAATTAAACAGCTGAGTCACGCCTTCTTAAACGTTAGGTTTAAATTTGGCTTTAAATACTCGGAAAAATAATACAGGCTTGATGTTTTCTTACAATAAAGGGACCCTGATCTTCTACCCCTTCACCCCTCCCCCTCCCCCAGGTGATTCCCGGTAACGGTTCTGTGCTCGTTTCTCTGGGCGCCCGTCCAAGCACAGGCCAGACAGAGCAGCCCCTTGGCTTGCTTGTTTTAGTCATTTGCAAAAATGAGAAAAAAGTCCCTATGAGCAGACACCAAAAGGCAGGAACTGCTGTAAATTATTAAGACAAAGATTATTAAGACAAAGACAAAGCTCTTCAAGAGTTTGCTTCCTGATTCCTAAAAGAAAGTTTCTGAGCCCTCTTCCATCTGTGGGTTGGACAGGTCCTTCCCTGGGCGTGGTCCCAGGGGCCGTCGAGGGGAATCCTTGCCACATCTTCCCTTACTAGAATACTCGGTGTTACTCTGGTACTCAGTACTCAGGTACGCCCTCTGGGTGTGGGCCTCTGCCGCAGAGTTGGAAGCAGTGTGGGCCCTGAGGGCTGTGTTTTGCTATCACTACTCGGAAACATGCCTCAGGGCCTGGGAAGGAAAAATCCTGTCCTTTGGGGATTGAAGTCAGTGGGTCGTGTATGTGGAAAAGGTGGAGGAAGGCGTGAGAGTTCAGAGCAGCCACACCCGATGCCTTGTCCTCCCCATGTCGGGTGGGTGGTCCCCTAGAAGTGAGGGCCAAGTCCTTTTGAGTGGGGTGGCCAGAGAAGCCGTCTCTGCCATGTTTATTAATTAGCACCTTAAGTGTCAAATGATTTTCCTCAGGGAATTCTGTCTTCTCTTTTGTTGTTCCTTTGTGACAGCAAGATGTTGGAAAGAAGCGATGCTGTCCTTTCCATGTTGATTTCATTTCTTATCCCTGCCCCATAGATCGTGTGTTACATATACTTCACCAGGATCATCGCATTCCTCCTCAAGCTTGCTGTTCCGTTCCAGTGGAAATGGCTCTACCAGGTGCGAGGCTCGGGTGTGGGGACGGCGCAGGGTGCAGGGGGAGGAGGGGGCGAGGGGGAGGGGTGTAATGTGAGGTCGCTCAGGAGGGATCAGGCAGTGGCCACTCCTGTCGCCTCTGGCCCACAACTAAGATGATCTGTTTGCCCAGGAAAGCTGCTGGATTACATGAAAAATCTGGAAGTAATTGCATTATTGATTTTAGTTTTCAATTTTACAAGACTTGGAAGAGAAAAGCCTCAGGCAGAGAGTGTGAGCCTCGCCCTGGATAATTAAAACGCAATGAGTCGTGGTTTTTTCCTTCAGTTATGGGGCTCAGGAAAGCTCAGAATCCAGAACGCCCTTCTTTACCCACGAGTATTTCAGTAACACAGTGTCTTTGCCGTAGACTCGAGCTCGTTGACTCCTAGGGGAAGCCACCGAATGATCTAGAGCCTGTTGCCTTTCTTGTTCTCGCCGGGACGTGTAGTCGGCACTCGGTGCTGCACCAGTTCCGGGCGGAGGGCACAGCAATGAGACTTCCTTGAGGCGCCCGCTTGGTGCTGAGGGCACTACGGGAAACGTGGGGCTAGAAGGGGCTCTTAAAAGATTCTGGTGAAGACTGATTAAAGCCTGGGGTCTTAACCGTCATCCCTGGGCAGAATGCTCCTAGCTGAGGCTCTGACCCACCTCGTGAGGGGACCCTACCCCAGCTCTGCCCTGACCTTTGGTTGGGGGGCGAGTACTGCACCAGTTTTAGTTCCACTGCTTTCAGAAGAACAGCCTTGCTAATCCATTTTTCGGGGTGGGTTTTAATTCGCAGCTCCTGGACGAAATGGCCACGCTGGTATTCTTTGTTCTAACGGGCTGTAAATTCCGTCCGGCTTCAGATAACCCCTACCTACAGCTTTCTCAGGAGGATGACCTGGAAATGGAATCCGTGTAAGCAATCTCCCCTCGTGTCCCTCCTCCTTCGGCCCCCGGACCCCGCCAGACAGCACGGTGGGAGTTGGAGTCGGAGCGGCTTCTCCCTGCGTTCCGTTGCTCCCGAGGTGTTAACTCTATATTTAGCAGAAGGAAATGGACACTTGAGCCGCAGGCTGTCTTACTCAGTTTGAAGTTCAGTGTCTGCCAAGATTGCTCCGCCTTTGCAGGGGAAGTGGAACCAGCCCTCCGATTAAGCATCCCCCAGCGTCGTTGGCACCTGCTTCCAGTGAGCCGGTGGTGAGAACTTGGGCATCCGCTTGGCCCGTTCAGCCCTCTCGGGGATGGGCAGCCCCGCTTCCTGTTGGCCCCCAGCCTCCGGGAGCTGATGTCTAAAAACGTGATCATCTGAGTCGTCTCTGGGTCTGCTGCTTGTCCGCAGGCTCCTCTGGCACCAGATAACGAAATGGTTTTCACAGCAGGCACAGCGACTTGACCTCTGTGCGAGCGTTCAAGCCGGCTTTTCTGAGTCACAGGGCAAGTGACTTTAGGGTCCTGTTTTCCGGGAAAGGGCACTCATTATCTAGAAAAGAAATAGTGATGGAGAGTTGGCTTGTTTACTGATGGACTGTGGTAGGCCAGTTTGTTGTGTTTGATGATTAGCCTAAGGCGGAGTTTCAGGTGTGCTGCCTCCCAGCTGGGTAGGTGGCCCTTTGACTTGTCCCAATTCAAAAGCTGAGCCTCTGGCCCCTGCTGGGCTGTCGCAGCATAGGACAGCTCTCTGTGCTCAGCCCCACCACAGGAACAGTCAATGGAAGGCAGCTCCCACCGATGGGCCCCAGACAACAGCTCTCAGTACAGAAGAACAAATACCAGAGGGGAAGGCAGTAGAGCCGCCAGGTGTGCCTTTTCTAGAAGCAGCAGAATCTGAGCCAGTAACTTGGTTGGAGGAGCTCAAGTGAGAGGCAGTGGTGTAAGCAGCCGCGGGCCGGCTGTTTGTCTGTCCCCGGCTGTTTGTCCGTCCCCGGCTGTTTGTCCGTCCCCGGCTGTTTGTCCATCCCGGCTGTTTGTCCGTCCCCGGCTGTGTTTGTCCGTCCCCGGCTGTGTTTGTCCGTCCCCGCCCCTCCGCAGGGCTTCCCGGGGTAGCAGCTAGAAGCCGACTGGCTGGGTCATTTGATGTTCTCCAGCAGTGTAGGTGTTCGCGCCCGTGTGCTTTCCATCGGCCGCCGCGCCAGAAGCGCAGAGGCGACGTGCAGGTATTCTTGTCTCGTGGCAGAATTTTTTAAAATTTTGTTTTGTTTTTTCATTTCTTGCTGGCGATACGTGGTAACTGTTTTAGCAGGAGGGTCTTTGTGTGCTCGGATCAGGGCAGGGAAGCGGGGAAGTGGTCAGACAGACCGCGAGTGCCGCGGAGACTGGAGGGCGTGTGTCCTTCGTTCTGCCAGGCTGGGGGGAGAGCGGAATGTTACGGGTCACCCAGTGTTCGCCTCCGCTTACGCTCCTGTTGGAAGGGAGAAGCGCTGCGATGACACCGTGTTTTCTGTGGCTCAGTGTCAGCCGTCCCGGGACAGCGAGGGAGCTGCTCTTCAGTGGCGGAAAAGCTGAGTATATCCCAGTATATTCACCACAGGTGAAGGCTTTGTTTAGTGGGGGGTGCGGTTTCCACGGAGCACCAGTCCTGCTTAGCCTATGAGAAAGAAGTTGGGGGACACGTGGGTGGCTCACTGCGTTAAGCATCTGCCTTCTGCTCAGGTCCTGGGTCCTGGGATCGATCCCCACATTGGGCTCGCTGCTCAGCAGAGAGCCTGCTTCTGCCTCTGTCTCTGCCTGCTGTTCTGCCTACTTGTGTTCTCTCTCTCTCTGTGTCAAATAAATAAAATCTTTAAAAAGAAAAAAAAGAAGTTGGGCAGCGGACTGAGGCCATATGCCTTTAAGTCAGCAGGGAAATTGTTCTGGGGCTTCTCTCTGGCTGAGAGAAAGTTCTGTGGATTAACAAGCTGTGTCTGAGCAGAACAGGCCGAGGTGGAGACTCCAGCCCTCAGCCTGCCGTCCACGCTGACCTGCGGGTGAGCGTGAGGGCTGATGGCAGCTCCTCGGGGACGCCACTGCACCCCAGGCTATCCCCCCTCTCTCCTGCTTGGAGGTGCTGTTCCTGGATGGCACCTCTTAAATTTTCCAGAAATAACTCAAGCCAGAGGCAAGCAGAGCCATTATTTGTGTTTTCTAAGAAGACAGGAGCTCTCTGTTGTCCCCTGTGAAGGGTGTTTCTTGGCGAAAGGAGCTCCTTCTGATCCTTGCCACAGAGCATATATCCCCGGCTCTTTGTGGAAAGGAATATTCCTTAGGCCTCTCACGCCCCAAAACAAATCCTCTTCCTAACGAGACCAACCCATCAGCGGCCCATGAACGCTGAGCTGGGCCGCTCACTGCCCTTATTGATTGATTTTCTGGGTAGTTTCTCTTCTACGTGTTTTCATTCCCTTTCTCTGAAGTCGGTGCATTTGGGAGGCATCTTGCCAGGTGAGCCCAGGATGGGCCGGGCTCCTCCTGGGGGTAGAGCGATCCCCCCTTCCTCTGGCCCCAGCCTGCCCGAGGTCCGTGCAGCTGCCACCCCCCAGCCCGACCTGGCTTGTCCCGCGGGGCCCGCAGAGTGAAGGTGTGGCCTGACGTACCCGACTTCCCGTCATTTTCTGGTTTTCTTTCTGTAATGACTCTCCTTGGGCTAAAGCTTGCAAAGGCTTACCCATTTTGGTAAGAGAATTTATCACTAAAAGGTCAGCAAATTAAAAAGTAAATATTGGGTGCAGTTTTGGTGATCAGACCTGGTTAGCCGCCTCCTGTGCTAGGCATGTCCTTGGAGATCTGAATTCTTTTCTGCTATCTTGAGATGTCAGACTGGGAAGAAATACTTGGTGTGGGTTCCAGGGCCGGGAAGTTGCCTCTCTGAGGTGCCCAATCCAGAACGCTGGCCTCATGGTTGCCAGGAACCTTTTTTCTGCTGCGCTGCCTTCATTCAAGTGGACGGCCAACAAAAGGGGAGACAGCAATTAGAGACGAATAGAATTGTTTCTCACCCCAGGCCTTTCCACATTTCAAGTCCAGAAAACACTTTTCAACTGGGTTATACTTTACCGTTTGGTTTGGTTACAGAAACAGATGCTTCCAGGGGCCACTCAGGCCCCAGATCACAGCGTGGTGCAGGAGGAAGAGGGATGGGTGCCCGAAGCTTCCCTTCTTATGGTGCCTGTGTGCAGTAGGCCCGTTCGGTCGCAAGCACAGATCGTCAGGGTTCTGCCAGGAAAGGAAGGGTCACCTTTTAGATGGAGGAGGGAAGCGGGAGGCAGCACTGGGTCCGTCTACTCTCCAGCTCCGTTACACTTCCCTGCTCCTTCTCTCTGTCCTGCACACACTCTCCCGTAGGTGCCGTCCTAAAGTCAGCAGCAGTCACAAGGGCTTCCCTGAGCAGGCACTGGAGGCGGGACAGCCTCTGCCGGGAGCGGGCTCTGGGCTTGGTGGCCGGAGGGGCCTTCCTGGCACTGGTCACTGGGTCCATGTGGGCCCCACGGTGAGTGGCCCGGTCAGCCCCGTAGGCAGTTTGGAGCACCAGCCAGTGCAGCAGCCCGGCCCCCGGGGAGCTTGCGGGCCCTCTGGGGAACAGTGGGATGGATGCAGCCAGCCTCGGGGCCCGCCGTGCAGCCAGGGGTGCGCCTGGCGCCAGGAGCGAGGGCATCTCGGCCGCCGGGGCGAGGAGGAGCTAGTCAGGCAGAGAAGGGCTGAGCAGAGCGAGAAGGACAGGCCCGCCCTCTCTGGCCTGGTCGTCCCCAGCTGGCGAGTGAGGGTGGGTGGCTGCGTCCCCAGAGTTTGTGTTAGACCGGGAGTCGCAGCCGCCACTGCCTACCCGGAGCTCGGAGAGCCCCTTCCCGCCCTGGGTGTAGGGTCTCTGAGAGCCCCTGCTCGCACGGTGGCTTTTCTGCCGTTGTCCCCCTTCAGCATTTTCCCCCCAGAGAGGGACACGCAGGGAGGTGCCCGCGGAGCTTTGAGGTCGCCAGAGGCCCTCGCATTCCCGCCTGCCAGGCTGTCGCTGGCTCCTGTCTCACCGCGGCGGCATCGGGACAGCGGTCGGCAGCAGCCGGCGGGCTGGTCTGCGGCACTTGGGCGCCACGTGTCATGGCCACTTGCCCGCGGCCTGCTGGGACCCGGGATGCAGAGGCCGCCCAGCATCACTGCCTTCCCGAGTCGCGCTCCGCTTCCATTCGCCTCGCCCGCTTCCTGCTCCCGTGACCTCCCTCTGTGCTGACAGCTCCCCACTTCCACCGACCGTGGGGGCTTCTCCCTCTTCTCGTGGGGAGGGCTCGCCCAAGCCCGAGGTCGTCCCCGACGTCTCCCCTCTGACACCGCCCCACCCCCGGCCCCCCCGCTCCAGCCACTTGCTTCCTCTGAGCTCTAGGTCCTTCTAGCCACCTGCTCACCGGTACCCAAGCTTGTGTCCCCTGCGCTCCCCGCGGGCGCAGCCGTCCACCACTCGCCAGCAGCAGCACGTGGCCGTTGCCCTAAACACCTCCCTCTTCTCGGGCCACGTGGAGTGAGTGGCCATTTCTTGGGGACCCAATGTCGCGTCTCCTCTCCCCCTTTGCCCCAGCGCCCTGCCTTCCTACAGCCGATGTCCTCACCCCGGTCTTCCTCCCTCCCTGTCCGGTCTCTTGGCTCCCAGAATCACTTGTGGAGTGTTTTTGAAGGAGAGTCCCTGGTCCCTCCCCTGGAGACTTAATTCTCAATGTTGAGGCTCAGGTACCTCTGTCCTTTTTTAAGTCCCCAGGGCATCCTGCCTGAGCCAGGACTGAGAACTCCCGTGTAAGGGTCAAGTCCTGTTGCCGTGACAAGGCAGACAAGGCCCTCCACGGCCCTGCCCCGCCTGCCCTTGACCCTCCCGCCACTTGCCTTTGCCAACAGCTGCTTCATACTCCCTGACCAGGCAGGGAGCTTTCTTTTGTTTCTTGCATGCTTTTTGCCCTTTACATTTCTTTTGTTCAGAAGCTCCCTAGCCACCACACACACACACACACACACACACACCCCACCCCCCCACCCCCCTCACCCCACCCCCGTCTTGCCGCTAATCCTCCTTCCATACAGGCTTCGTACAGGCTTCGAAGCCGCCCCCAGCCCCAGGCAGGGGTGATTCTCCCCACCCCGAGCCCTCGTCCTGCCTGCTCAGAGCTCTCCTGTCTGCTTCCAGCAGCTTTGTGTGTTGCCCTGGGAGACTGTCTTCTGCTGGGCTGCGGGCGCCCCAAGAGCCCCGATTCCTGTCCCTTTCTGTCCCAGCCCAAGGCTGGCATGACAGAGCGAGCCTTGTTTTCTCAGTTGGCCCACCAGCTGGAAAGCAGTGTTTTGTTGGGGAAAGACAGGCAGCAGGTGTGTCTCCCAGGCCGCAGCCCGAGCCCCACTCGGGTCCGACAAACAGGCTGTTCTCAGCCCCAGCTGTGTGGAAGCCTTGTCCTGTCCAGGAGGGGCCGCAGCCCGACAGCAGCTGCTGTCACCGCAAGTGACTCTCAGAGACTCGAGGGTGCATTTCTTCCCTGATCTCACGCGCTTGGAGAAGCTGTGCTGGAGCTGGAAAGGCTTCTGGGCCTACAGCTGTTCCCCCTGCATATCCCAGTCCAGTGACAACCCCGAGAGGACAAGACCTGGGTGCATGCCTGCGGCCTGGGAGAGGTGCACCCTTCCTGGAGGGCTCAGGCCCTGGCCGCGCCAGGTGACAGGAAGTGGTGCCGGGTCACATGGCGAAGGGGGTGCTTTCCTTTGCTGGGGACCGTGTTTACACTCGCAGCATCTGTAGGATCCCCCAGATCCCCTAAGAGCCACGTCTGGGCAGACCACCTTGTCCTGACTTGCCAGAAGTACAGCCAGCCCCCGGGTCTGAAGGACTCCTGTCTGGGAGAAGTCCCAGCTCTGGGGAGGACTGGCTGGCTTTGGGGCCTGGTCACAGCAGCAACACGGTGGCAGGAATGAAAGGAGAAATAAAGGGGGAAATATTTTCCTTACCCCATAAAATCACTTATTTGCCTTTAGGTCCAACTGGACAGCCTCTAGGTGTGTGCCTTGTAGGGCTACTGAATTACCATTTGTCGGTGAAAGGATTCAGTAGCTGGTGGGGGGTTAAGGAGAGTCCTCAGAGAGATCTACTGAGTTGAGTGATGGAATTTATTTTACTGTTTCAGAAATTCCTGTAGGTCCATCATGGGGTACATAGGTGCCTCGTTTTCTCAAGTACTTAGGTAGATGCTGGTGGGTGTGTTTGTTACTTGTTTTTAATTCTGTTTGTTAGAACAGTTTCAGGTTCACAGCAAACTGGACAGGAGGGACAGAGATTTCCCAGGTGCCCCTTGTCTCCACCGCTGTAGCCGCCTGTGTTACCAGCAGCACCTCCAGGATGGTAGGCACATTTGTTACAGTCGATGGACCTACACTCACCCGTCCTTATCGCCCACAGTCCGTAACTTACCTCCGGGCTCACTCTTGGTGATGTGTGTTCGGTGGCTTTGGACGAATGTGTCACGTCATGTGTCTATAGTACACACCCACCCAGAGCAGTTTCCCCATCCTGCAACTGCTCTGAGCCCTGCCTGCAGGGCGGAGCTCAGTCTCTCTGCCTGGCGTCTTCTGCTGCAAAGAAACCCAGAGCCTTCGTAGGTCCTGTCCAGCTCACAGCTGGTGAGGCAAGAGTTTGTCTTCTCCTGCACTCCACCTTCCCGAGGGATGTTGTGACTCACTGTCTGGAAAGGGCTGCTCTGCTCGGCTCTGCACATTCTCTGAAGCCGGCCTTCTGCCCTCTCTGATCTACACATTCAGTATAGGGTTCCGTGGGACCTCCTTAGTGCCGGGCACCAACAGAGGCAAGGCCCCTGTCCCCGGTCCCAGAGAGGAGGCCCAGCCACGTGCTCCCGGACAGCCATGCAGAGACGAGGGCCTGGGTCTATTTCTGAGGGTCAGAGAATCTTTGCGCCAGAAGGTTCCTCCAAACCTGTGGTTCTGTCCCATGACTCTCAGAATGACTACCCCTGCTGAGCTTTCTTTTCAGAAGGTTAGGGCACAGGCGGTGGTCTCGTAATCACAGTCACGTAGCCAGGTAGCAGTAGAATTGGTGGAGGCCACGACGGAAAGCGAGGACCGGATCAATGTTGATTGTAGTAGTAACAGCCGGTGTTGTTGACAAGATGCTCTGGAGAATTGCATTTTCCCCTGATCACAGTTCTGGGAAGCGGGAACCGTTTCTCATACTTAGAAGGGGGAGAGCAGGCGTCTTGGCGGGGTTACGCAGCTAGCCAGGAGCGGGGTTGGGACCGGAACCCGGGTCTGTCTGATTCCAGAGCCAAGACATGTAGCCCCTCCGCTGTGCCGTGGTGACAGTGGCCTTTCACTTAAAGACCGAGATTTTCCCAATTGTTGTGTTTTGTTTTTCTCTTCATTCAGAGTGACGACATCAGGGGTGATGGAGAACATGAAGAAAGTCAAGAAGGTGACCAACGGCTCGGTGGAACCCCAGGGCGACTGGGAGGGCACCGCGTGACGGAGCAGCCTCAGGGCTGGGACTGTCCAAGAGAACCTCTAATTTATTAATCGTCCTAGTGGTGAGCAGGAGCACTTGGCGCCTCCCGACAGTGACAGCACAGAGCACGCGGCTGGGAACAAAGTGCCACGGAAACCTAATTCTCTACTCTCTTTTATGGAAACTGGATCTGTGGCTGGTTATGGGCAGCTAGAATTCTCCTTCAGGTGGGAATGGTGGGGAGGACGTGTAGACAGGAGGAGGATAAGAGGAAGACTTTGTTTGTAGTTTCTATTTCTTTCTTTTTCTTAATTGGGAACTCTCCAGAAAGACGCAGTTGTGCCCCCCAGTGTGTGGCAGCAGGGAGAGGAGTGTTGGTGGACGGGGAGGGAGGGCAGCGGCGCGAGGCTGGGGCCAGTCCCGGCTCGGGAATGAGGCCGCAGGAAATGAGCAGGGGCTGAGGCAGGATACAGGGACTTAGAAGAGAGACGGAACTCACCGTGGCATCTTTGGTTCACAAAAATGAACGAAATTAGGTTATTTTAGAAGGCAACGTCAAAACCCAGTTTAGTGTACAGAGCTTGCCGCAGGGTTCCTGGCCCAGAGTGTTGCCCCAGACCTTGACCCCAGACTCTTTGTGACCAGGAACCAGCAGCTCCAGAGGCCCGGCCATCTTCTTCCCAGAAGGGCTGTGTCATCTGGGGGCCAAGCGTCCCTGTCAGAGTCACGGCTCCGGAACCATGGTGGGAAGTGCTTTTCTTGATTGAAGCGGATGTGGTGGTGTCTAACGGATGGACAGAAGTGTACGTTTAAGCTCAGAAAGCGTTATCCAGTAGGATTCCCTCAAACATCTGGCTCCCCTGACTGCCCAGAGCAGGTCCACCTCTTCCTTCTCTCGCTGTGGCTGTGTCTGTTTCGTGTAATCAAAATATGGGGAGAAACAGGAAGGAGTTTTCCTTAAAGGAGCAGCTGGGGGCAGACAAGGTAGTGTTTAAGCAGATATTTAAGTACAAGCAAAAATCATCATCACTAAAAAGTTTTTCCTATAAACCAGGTAGGTTTTCTGGCAGGAATGAAACAGACCTCGTCCCCATCTCCCCGGACCATGCCTGCCAGGAGAGCAGGTGTGTTGAACAGCTTTTCTCTCTGGGGCTGGGGAATGGCGAGCTCTTTCTCGGAGACTCAGCAGAGCGCCCTTCCAAACTCTCCGAGCCTGGAGAGGAGCACGGGCAGCTGCCTCAGGGGAGCAGTGGTACAGCTGGTAGTGAAGTCCTTTGGATGGTGGGATGAGCTCAGAAGGTCCACTGTGGCCCCGGGGTGGAGGTGGGCGGTAATCCCCCACCAGAGTGATGGTGGCCCAGACCTGAGCCCAGAGGCTGAACCGTGGTCTTGTTGGAAACGTTTCCAAGGGTGCCAAGAGCCTGCACCTGTGGGCCTGGGGCTGGGGGTGGACAGCCATCTCTGGAGGTGGTTTTCTCCCCTCCCTGGCTTGAAAGCGTCCTTCAGAAACTGCAGAATTCGGGGGATGGCCCTCAGCTCCCCAGGTTCACCAACTAAAGAGTCTGTCCTCAATTGTCCTTCTCCTGTCCTCTTTGTTCCGGACGAAGGGAGCAGGAAAACGTCCTCTTCATGCACTTTGCTTAGCCTTCGGTGTTCTGCGCAGCCCTTCCTGCACAAAGGCTCCATCCTGGCTGGGCATGGGGTGTGAGCTGGAATCTTCTGTCTTCTGAGGCCGCTGCTGCTCGCCTCGCTGCAGATTTGAGGGCAGGAATCATATGTCTCCCCAGTTTGAGGAGCAAGGAAATTTGCCCTAAGTATTTATTTAAGGGACCGCTTCTTTGTCTTTCTGTCTTCCTTCCTTCCTTCCGTTTTCTTCGATGGGGGCTACGTGATCGGGGAAGGAGGTCTCAGGGAGGACGGGAATATTAAGACTGTTTTCCTGGTGTAAACACAGTCCCGGTACTTCCAAAATGTGTCTCATACTGTGATCAAACCCCGCTCGGTGCTCCCCTCAGAGGGACGCCTTTGCCGTTCGTCCTGCGAGCAGATATTCTTGACTGGTCCCTAGACTTCTTGGTAAGACCCAGAAGTGTGATGAACCCCCCACCCCGGAAAGGGTCCCTGTGGAGGTGTCCTCGATCCACTTGCTGGAAGCCAGGGAGCGAAGGAGCCCGGGAGGAGGAGAACGCGTTGGGGCAGCTCTGACCTGACTGCCCTCCCCGAGCTGGCCGTGGCTCCCACCTTCCTCTGCCAGAGCCTCGAGCCTCGGTAGCCATGCGAGGTCGGGAGCCAGAGCGTCGGGCTCCTGGTGCCACACGTGCGCCTCAGGGCTCAGGCGCACAGCGGCTGAGGGGCCTCAGGATGGCCGCGACCCTTCTGAATGGGAGGGTGCAGGCCAGATGAGGTCATGATGTAGGAGTAAACGCTAACGAGTCTGCCCAAGTCCTGTATTGTAACCGGCAGGAGGTTCGAAGTGAGGCCCAGTGATCAAGAAAAGTCAAAACCCCAGCCCCAGTTTGGGAAAACTGGTTTTCCCACATTTGTACAGGTTGTTAGAGCTCTCCTTCCTGTTCTGTAAAAACGTCTCTCCGGTGTCCATCATCTGGGCGCTGTGACCTGCCCTCAGCTCTCCTCCCGAGCAGAGATGACTGCGGGGGTCCGAAGCCAGCTGGTCGCCCCGGTCCTTCCAGCAGCCCACGTGGTGCATCGGGAGGCAGAGCTCCTGCAGCTGAACCAGCGTTTTGGGGCCCGGGCAGGAAGGCTCGGGTGCGCGTCCGAGAGCGATGGGCAGTATTTATAGCTTCACCTTGTGCTCCTGCTCCCCATTTCTGCTTCTGCAGGGTTGCCCTGCATCCTTTGAGAAAGCTGCTCTGGACCGCCCGGGCGGCTGGCTGCCAGCTTTGAGGAAGGAAAGGGTCTGTTGTCCCGTAATAAAGTGTCTATGTTTTGCTAGAAAATTACTACTTAGCAGGAACAACCATCGATCTCTTCATCCTGGCTTCTAACAGTGGCCAAAGACGCCATCAGCCTGTTTCTTAGGTTCCTTGATGCTTTAAAATTTCAGTAGCCACGTGTCGAACCTGCTGACTCACAGGAGGTGCTTACTCCAGTGTGAAAGATGGCTTCCCCTATCATAGCCTGCGTCAGTTCCGTTTTCTTCCAAGAAATCACTTTGGAGTAAAACGTCCAGGCATGGTTTCTCCCGGACACATCTGGGCAGCCCCGCAGCACTGCCTCTTCGTGCTCCGAGTGCCTGTCCTGGCGCGCTTGCTGACCCTGCGTTGTGAGCTCCACGGGATGGCTGCTCCCTCTTGTTCCACTACCTGCCTCCCCCAGCCGCTCCTCCTCCCCCCTCCTCCTCTCCCTCCTCCTCCTGCTCCTCCTTAGCCCACGGCTATCGATTGCACATGGGCTCCGTCTGGGACTGGGGGCTGAAGGCTTGGTGCACTGCAGCATTTTCTCCCGGTAGCCGTGTGACAGATGTACTTTCTAAGCCAAGGAGAATTTTCTCGAGAGTGTACATACTGATGCTGCACGTTGCGCCTTGGGCCCTCGCACACCAGTGTGTTCTGGTTTAATACTTAAGAGACTGTTACCAGGAGCCAGTCCTTATGGACCAAGAAGAGTGTGAAAGATCCCCATTTGACTTGCCAGTGGCATCCTGGCCACCTCCCACAGCCGGAGGCATCTTCTCCCCAGGAAGGCTCTTAGAACATTAGAGGGTCTGATGAAGGGGTTAGCACTGCTCCCTGCACTCCGTGGGACAGCGGGACCATTCCTGCTGACCCGCTGCTGGATCTCAAGGGAAGCCCATCCCAGCCCCCTCCTTGCCCCACACTCCACAATCACCCCCTTTGCTTTCCTCTGACCCACCCTGGTCTTCTAACAGATTGAGAATGTGCTTGGTCTCCAGTGCCCGTGGCTGTTACCTGTCTCTCCCATTCAGGATTCAGTCAGTAAATGAGAAGCTTCCCCACTAAAGAATTTAGGCTTTGACTTGGTACTTCTTGGTATGCCAAGAAGGCATTCATCTGGAACACACCATATGTTCCAAAAGATTGCTCTTGACTCCAGGTTTCTTCCTCCAGGGTGCTTGGGGCCCACCTGAGTTGATGCTAATACTTGTCCTACCTGCAGTGTGGTTATCGATCAGTGAACTGAACACTCCAGCTCTCCCCGGGGGCTATGCTCTACCCTGTACCCACTTTGGATAGCTTATTCTTGAAAAATGTTTCTCGGTGTCTCTCTGTTAGGGCGTGGGACATGCGCATCCCCCGAGCCCCTGTGTGAGGAAGGCAGCCCGGCCGAGAGAGGGACTAGGTGGTGTGGGAGCCAGGATCTGGTTGTGTCGCACAGGGACTGTTGGAATTCTGGGGGTAGGAAGTCTGCAGGCAGGCCGTTGGGGAAGAAGGAGTTCTGGACAAATTAAGGGTTGAAGTGAGACAGAAAAGCTCACTCAGTTCAAGACAGCTCATTCTAGGGCCATTTTTGAGGTTGTGCAGTGGACAGCCAAATCAGATGGGGGTGGGGGGCAGCAGGGCAGCCTTCTTAGCATTTCGGATACTTACTACAAAAGGATCCCCAAATCCCGGCCAAACGGGGGCGGGGGCAGTTCTTGGCGCCTTAAGCAGCTTTTCCCACCATAAATTGGATTTGCCTGGTCATGTGACCTCAAAAGAAGTCAGACACATTTAATCCAGAAATAAGTTTCATTTGGGGGAGAAAATGTCTGTAAATATCATTTGCTTTCCACGTTAGATTGGGATGCAGGAGTTTTCAGTATTTCTTTTTTTTTTTTTTTAACATTAATGATCACTGAAGAGTATTTATGTAAACATGTACTGGGTGGGGCTTCCAATCAGGGTGAGGTATGGGCTGGATTCTCTCGCTGTGATGCAGACATGTAAAATAAAGATTCTCTGACGGAAATGGATGTTTGTAATCCTGTAGGGAGTCACCGACTCCGGGCTGCTGTCTCTCTTCCTCCTGCTCGTCATTTTTCCCTTTGTGATCCTTGTTCATTAAATTAGTTAACTGCCTCCCACCTGCTGGCACTGACAGCAGTGACTCCTACTAGAGACGTTCAGCTGCACCCCCAGGGGCTTGGTTCTGGAACAGACTGGAAATCCCCTGTGGTTTCCTGGTGCCCTGCCTCCATGGGGCAGGCAGGCGCCTTCCAGGGGAGGACCTGCCTGCCCGCTGCGGCAGCTAGAGGGGAGGGGACAGTGCGGCCTGGGGGTGACGCCCTCGCTGGCCCAGAATCCCGAGCTCTGCCCTCTGACACTGCTTCTCAAGCAGGCCGCGATCCCATAAGAATCACAGAAATCCAAGACTTCAGACTCAGAGCCTTTTTCGAAGTCATGCAATCCCAAACCTCTTATTTTACTACGAATGTTTTGAACTGAGGTGTAACTTCCAGACCATCAAGTTCACTCTCTAAGTGCACAGTCGGATGAGTTTGGACAGATGTGTACATAGTTCTGTGGCCGCCGCCATAATCGGGGCGAAGCATTTCCAACCCCCATGAGGTTCCCCCGTGCCCCTCCTCAGCCAGAACCACCCCCTCCCCGGAACGGCCACACCCCTGCTCCGATCACCACCTGGCAGCTCGGCCTCTTCTGGAGCTTACATCCCTCCTGTCTGGCTTCTTCCACGAGGCGGACTGTTCTGTGGTTTACCCATCCAGTGCTCCGGCTTTAAAGCTACAGAAACTGGGGCTAGAGGTTATGCCCCTCCCCAGGACTGCTGTGGGGTGGTGAGGATTCTGTCCTCATTGGTCATGGTCTAGACATTCAGGGGTGGGGGGTGAGGGATGGGGGTTTAGAAGCCATGTTATTTGGCCTAGATTTCCCAGGGCGTGGCCGGGCTTTACCCCCAGCGCCCATTCCTGACTCTCTGGGGGCTTTGGGTTACCAACGGTGTCTGGAATCGTGAGTAGGATGGGCTTCTAATGGGGGATCCCAGGAGTCAGATGGGGCTCTCAGGGTGAGAGATGCTGGGGCAGCCAAGAGAAGGCATGAAAAGGACCTTCGGGACCCCTGATCCCATGCTTCTCAACACTTGCGCAAGCACCAGCCCTTTGGAGGGCCTGGAGTCTCCCACGGGACCTGGGAAGTGGCACTGCTCGCAAGCTTCCGGGTGATGCGGCCTTGGCCCGTCCCAGATCACACTTAGAGAGCCACCCACGTGAGCCCGCCGGCCCCTGCTGGAGACTCGCCTCCGTCACGCAGCTGCACGGGTCCGAGCAGCCCTCACACGAGCTCCGGCTGGAGCCACCACGGTGAGCATTGAGGGGTGCTAGCAGGGGCTGGGGGTGCCGGCTAGACGCTCCCTCAGATCAATACTGGCTTCCTCCTCCGTAGCCAGGCGAGGGCTTCCTCAGCCAGAAGGCAGCCTTCTAGGCCTGAAGCCAGCCATGGGGCCTGCACTCAGGACCTGGGCTCGCATCGGGAAGGCCAGCGCCGGGGCACCTGACCGCAGCTCACTCGCCTGCTCTCCCTGTTCTGATGAGACGCAGAGCAGGCGAAGTCGGGAGCCCAGCCTAGAGCTGCCCCCTGCCTTCCAGGCCCAGGAGCCTGGTGGGGCCTCCCAGTGCCCCCACAGCCCCCTTCCCTGCTGTGGCTGCCTGTGGCTGTCCGCCTTCCCCGGGAATCCGGCAGGCTGGCAGATGGATAGCTGCACGTGCCCTCCAGCTACGGAACGACGAGGCCACTGAGAGCTGTAAGAAAAATGCTTCCTTCTTCCTGCAGACCTGCTGCTTCTGCCAGGCCACATTCGGGAGAATTCGCAGAGCCCCTGGGCATTAGCCCGGTCCCCATCTGGAGGGATGCTGGCTCGGCTGTCTGGGGACCAGAGTTTAAGGGTATGGGATGACGAGCTCCAGTTGGCAGGGGAATGCCGACCTTCGTGAGATGAGGAAGCTGCTTGTTAGAGCAGACCTGCAGGGACTGAGCCTAAGGCGCCCCGGTCACTCGGGGTGAAAGTAGTTCTCCGCACGCACACTTGTGTTTGTGGGAGATCCGAGGGGAGCCTAGTGTCGGCGGTGCATGGGGGAAGCATGGGCGGCTGGGAGCCATGCCACCACTTTCTCCTGCCCCCACCCCCCCAACCCCCGTTTAACAGCTCCTTCGGCTTTCCCATTCAAAATCATTCAAAATCAAACCACCCCAATCCCCCTAACCAGCAGCAGCCCCCCACCCCCGCTCCTAGGCCAAACCGCTCCAGTGTGCTTCACCTCGATGTTCACCTCACTGCAGCCCGCTTGCCATTGGCCACCAAAGTCACCTGCAACCTCCGGAGCTCCGTTACTATGTGTGGGACTTGACAGACTCTTCCCCTCCCTGACGGACCCTCAGCTCCCACCGCGCCTTGCAGAGCGTCAGCTCCTGGCCTTGCACACTGGCCAGTTAGACCTCCTGCCAGCTCCCTCTTCCCTCCAGCCGTGTGGCCCGGGTCTTAGTGATGGACTCCTCGGCAGCGTCCCAGCTCCCACCCTGGCAGCCTCCTCCGTTCCCCTTCTTGCTGGGCCCAGACTGTTATTTCCTGCCTGGAGCTGTTCTGAGCCCCTGGTGGCTTATCCAGCTGCTTCCTGGGCTGTTTTAAAGGCACGTCAAAGCCATGCTTTCAGAATGAGCTCACCACGCCTCCTCCCCAGTCCTGTAAGTGTGATCCAGGCCAAAAACCTGGGCCTTGCCTTCGATGTTTCCCTATCCCCTGTACCATCCCAGGGCACCCACCTCTCTCCCCACGGCCACTGCCCAAGCTGGCCGCCCTTACCCTCGCCTGGATTACACCACCAGCCACCGCCTTCCAGCCGGCCTGGCCTCCAGTTTTGCCCTGCTTCCAGAATTTTGCCATGCCTTAGCCCGGGGAGCTTTTAAAAGTGTCTGCCTACCGTGTTACAGCATAGAGACACCGAAGCAAGCAACGAGGATAGAAAATCAATATAGAAAAATAAGCCACATTTCTATACACTTGTAGTGAACAATCCCAAAATGAAATTAAAACAGTTCCATTTACAGTAGCATCAAAAAGAGTAAAATACTTAGGAATACATTTAACAGTAGTGCAAAACTTGGGGCACCTGGGTGGCTCCATTGGTTAAGCATCTGCCTTTAGCTCAGGTCATGATCTCAGGGTCCTGGGGTTGAACCCCACATTGGATTCCCTGCCCAGTGGGGAATCTGCTTCCCCCTCTCCCTCTGCCCTCTCCCCGCCATGCTCTCTCTCAAATAAATAAAATCTTTAAATAAATAAAAAGAAGTGCAAAACTTGGACTCTGAAAGCTGAAACATTGAAAGAAATTAAAGGAGATCCAAATACATGGAAAGCTATCCCATATTCATGGATCAGAAGACAATATTAAAACCATAATACTCCCAAATTAATCTATAAATTCAGTACAGTTCCTACCAAAATAAGGCCTGACTTCTTTGCAAAAATTCACAAGCTGATTCTGAGATTCATTTGCAAAGACAAAGGCTCCAGAATAGCCAAAATCATCTTTTTTTTTTTTTTTTTTTTTTAAGGGAGAGAGAAGGGGAAGGGACAGAGGGAGAGGAAGAGACAATCTTCCGCAGACTTTGCTGAGCATGGAGCCCCACGTGGGGCTTGATCTCACGATCCTGAGATCATGACCTGAGCTGAAACCAACAGTTGGATGCTTAACCGATTTTGCCACCCAGGTGCCCCTCAATTTCAAAACTTATCACAAAGCTGTAGTAATCAAGAGAATGTGTGGTACTGATGGAAGTATAGCTGTATATAAATCAATGAAATAGAAGTGAAGTCCAAGAATAGACCCTCACATTCATGGTCAATTGATACTTGGCAAGGGTGCCAAAACAACTCAGTGGGGAAAGAACCATCTTTTTATTCAACCAGTGGTGCAGGGGCAACTGGACATCCACATGCAAAAGGTAAATGTGTAGCCCGACCTCACACCATATACTAAAATTACCTCAAAATGGATCATCCACCTAAAACTATAAAACTCTTAGAAGGAAGTGGGTGAGTTTTCATTATCTTGTATTTTGGCAAGGCTTTTTAGATATGACACCAAAGCCTAAAGAACAAAGGAGGCAAATAAATAAACTGGAGTTTTTTTTAATTGTATTTTTTTTAATTCACTTTTTTAAGGTTTCATTTATTTATTTGCGGGAGAGAGAGTGAAAGAGATCATGAGAGGGGAGAGGGTCAGATGGAGAAGCAGACTCCATGAGCGGGGAACCCGATGCGGGACTTGATCCCAGGACTCCAAGATCATGACCTGAGTCGAAGGCAGTTGCTTAACCATTGAGCCCCCCAGGCATCCAAATAAACTGGACTTGATCACAGTTAAAGCTTATGTGCTTCAAGGACACATCAACAAAGTGAAAAGACAGCCCAGTTGCTTGCAAATCATGTATCTGATAAGGGTCTCAATTCTAGAATATGTAAAGATCTACAACTCACTAAAAAGATATCCCATTTTAAAAATGGGCAACAGATCTGAGTAAGCATTTCACTTAGCATCATACTTTCAGGGTTCATCCATGTTGTAACGTGTGTGAGAATTTCATTTCTTTTTAAAGCTGAATGCTATCTCATTGTATGTATGGATCGCATTTTGTTTGTTCACCCATCCACTGATGGACACCTAGATTGCTTCCACTTTTTGGTGTGAATAATGCTGCTGTGAACATGAGCATACAAATATCTGTCCATGTGTCTGCTTTCAGAATTGGAATTGCTGGATCATATGATAGTTTTGTGTTTAATTTTTTGAGCAACATGATACCATTTTCCACAGCAGCTGTACCATTTTACATCCCCACCAGCAGTGAGTGCACAGGGTTCCAATTTCTCCACAAGGCTGCTTGTTATTATTATTATTATTATTATTATTATTATTTTAAATTATTATTATTTTTATTTTTTATCAT